ACAGAAAAAAGTTTATAATTGCACCCTGGAAAACCCACAGACAACCGAGGAGGAACATGTTCTATGGCCTGTAACTGCTGGCTCCCCTCAGCCCCCAAATTCTCCACTAAAGGGACCAATTTGGCCCAGATAGCCACGCTTATGGCCAGACCATTGTGTATTACTTTTACATGGGGGTTAAACTTCTAGCAGTGATGAAGTGAAAGTTAAGGATTTACTTCTTGCATATGGGAAATAAAAACATGCATGCATGTGTGCACATAAAGACACACTTGCATGTGCATGCATGGATGCACACATACACATAAGCATGCATGATTGCATGCACGCACGCACACGCACATGCACACACAAAAAAAATAATAATAATAAATAAAAATAATGATAATAATAATAATAATAACAATAATAATAACTATTCTAATATGAGCACACACACACACACAAACTCACAAGAAACAACCATTATCATCCATTAAGAAATATATCTTCACTTTATCCACTTGTACCTAAACTATCTTACCTTTCGGCACAGTAATCTGCTGTACAGATACTCCCTGCTTAGCTAATGCTTCAACAGGGAAGTTTGGCTGTCCTCCACGAGACAGAATATTTGGGCGATGAATTAAGCTTCCACCTTCTAAACGCTGACCCATTTCAGCTTGCAATGGTCTAACAGTACCAACTGGCTTTGCATAAACCACACCTCTGGAAAATTATGTAATCATATGCATGAACCTCATATATGCTAAATGAATTATCATTATCAATCTAGCCCACTGATTATGGATGATGCCCCATTACACCATTGCAAAACAATCACTTATGCTGAGGAAATGAACAGTTGAGTCTGCTATTAGTTGTGCATCTCAAACAGCTGTGAATATGTTTGACCTTAACTGCTGTCACTGAAGAAAAACAGCCTCTAGAAAATAGGATCATCTCTTTTTTTAGCTTTCCTTCTTAAACTCTCATATATGCCCCATCCAAGAGTATATAGAGCAGGTATATGTTTCCTGACTGTGCATGAAGCACAGCAAATAGTTCTGTATGGTACCAGTAGATCCAGTGGTTAGTGGGCTAGAGAACTTTAAGTTAAATGTGTAAAAAAATTGGAACAAACTTTTTATTCTTACTTTCCTAATGCCTTTTTTTCTTAATTGTATACAACAAAACAAAGAAACAGATTCTTACCCAATTTTGGTTCCCATGATTACTTGTTGTCCTTGCTGATTCTTGGGATAGAATGCAGCATATGATGGTCTACTGTAACTGATATTTGCCTGCTTTTCCAATTCATATGATCTCTTTGCTAAACGCTTTTCTGCCCGGGACAATTTTTTATCTTTCCGATCAACCAGCAAGCTTTCATGTTTAAATGGGCATTTGGTCAACAGTTCTCCATGCTTGAGTATTATCTCCTGCAAAATTATGTCTTTGTACTTCTCAGATTTGTCACTAAAATCCTCAGGGTCTGGGTCACTTTCATTTTCAACAAGAAGGTTGCTAATCTCTTTAGATGACAAATGGGCATCTGGGTTCATTTCATCTACAATACGATCAGCTATGCCTTGTTTATTCACTTGTCTATCATAAATACGCTTCTCAAGTGAGTTATCAGTGACCAGGCGATAAATATGGCACTCCTTCTTTTGGCCGTATCTGTAGACTCGACACACGGCTTGAGTGTCATGACAAGGGTTAAATGAAGCATCAAACACTACAACCCTGTTTGCGCCTACCAAATTAATGCCTAAACTACCAGCTCTTGTTGACACAAGAAACAGCCTAACATTAGGATTCATGTTAAATTCATTAATCAACTTTTCTCTATCCTGAGCTGATGTACTGCCATCTAATCTAAAATAAGATCTGTTTCTGAGCCATCCCTCATAAGTTCCTGGAATATAAGATCTTTGTAGGAATTCTTCCAGGAGAGAGAGTGTAAACAAAGACTGGGAAAACACAAGGAGGCGGTCTCCTATTCTGGTACATGCTTCCAAGATCTGGAAGAATACTTGGAATTTAGCAGATGTTGTTAATAACCCAGGACTATACTCCTTAAATAGGCCTTCAGCCCAGTCAAGAGTCATTTCTTCTTTTTTAGTTTCTTCCTTTTTCTCTTCTTTTTTCTCTTCAGTATTTTCCTCTTCTTCTTCTTTGATTTCCTCTTTTTTGATAAGCACCTGATCAGCTTCTTCAGATTCAGGTTTTGGCTTTTCCTCAGAACTTGGTGTTGGAGTGGCTGGGGCAGGTGTTGCTGGAGTTGCAGGAGTAGCAGGAGTGGCAGGAGTGGCTGGGCTAGGTTCATTTGCCAAGGACTGACTGCTTGGTCCATTGGGATAAGGAGTGGATTGACTTCCAAGCTGACCATTACCAGGTTGATTGGTAGGCTGTACTGGAGGATTTGGTACACCCAATGACTGTCTGTTTGGGTTGGGAGCTCCCATAGACTGTCCAGAATTATTTGGAGCCCCCATTGGTTGTCCCGAGTTATTTGGAGCTACCATAGCTTGGCCTGAGGAATTGGAAACTCCCATGGACTGTCCAGGTTGATTTGAGGTTCCCATTGATTGTCCTGTTGCATTAAGTCCCATAGGCTGTTCTGTTCCCATTGACTGTCCTGGTTGATTGGGTAGGCCCAAAGACTGCACAGAAGAGTTTGGCATTCCCATTGACTGTTCAGCAGGATTATGAGATCCTATAGACTGTCCTGAATGGTTTGAGAGTCCCATAGACTGTCCTGAATGATTTGGCAAACCCATAGACTGTCCAGAAGGGTTTGGGATACCCATGGACTGTCCTGTTGAATTCTGAAGATTTAATGGCTGTCCAGAATTATTAGAAATGCCCATTGACTGCCCTGGAGGGTTTGGATGACCCATGGGTTGTCCAGTATTGTTAAGTGACATGCCCATTGATGAATTGTGCATGTTGAGAGAACCAGGATATCCAGGTACTGACTGACTAACTGGCGTGTTGTGCTGAGGATACTGTGGGGCATAAGGATTGTTATAAGGAGGATAATGCCCTCTATTTGGATCATTAGCACCATAGCCCTGGTTGTACCAAGGATATGGCATTTGCATGCCATATCCCTGATGTATATTGTGGTTACCCATACCATAATTACCAAGTGCACCTTGGCTATCTCTGAGCTGACTCATCTGATGGTGCATCATTCCTGGTGGACCCATTGGATCTTGAAAGCCCATTCCACCTTGTTGCAGACCCATTGGCCCATGCTGACCCATTCCCATCTGTGGTCCCATCCCAGGTTGTTGATTCATACCAGGTTGGGGACCCATTCCTAATACAGAAGCTGGATGGTGCTGTGGCATTACATTTCCACGCCCCATCTGCCCACTTTGTGCAGCCCAACTTGGAACTGGATGGGATGGTACGTTTAGCAAAGACGTATTAGGTGTGTTAATGGAAGATGTGCGTCGAGACTTTGATTTTCCTTCAACTTCATCTAAGTCTAGGTCAAAATCTTCATTAATCTTCTTCTGAACAAAATTGTACAATACATCTGGATGGTTCCAAATCTGAAAAAACAAGCAGTGTCAGTACATCTCTTTTAAATATAAAAATCAAAATGGATTTGCATATCATACTATCAACCCCAAATAAGGGTAACAAAACTTACTTTACAACATATTGCAAAGGCTTTTAGGGGGTTGGCCATCGCTTTTGATGCAGATAACTCTGCCATGAATGTTGAGTAGAGCTTACGCTGAATTTCCGTCATTCTACACAGAAGTACATGTTCTTCTTTTTTGGGCAATGTATTTGCAAGGACAGTATGTCCACGCCTGGAAGAAGGAGAAAAACAAGCATTTCCTTATTTTACTGCACCTGAATATAGCTTTCTAAATGTATGTTTACTTGTAAATTTGACTACTACATTTAACCCTATTATATCAGGGCCATAATTTTCTGTAATGTAAAAATTACACAAAAGATAAAGCTTTCTGGCTGAGTTTGTGCTGATAACAGTCAGCCCGCTTGTTTGGCAGAGTGAAGCATGATGCCTTATGACGTAATACCCAGATACATCATGATGGCTATAGCCATACCCATCACTGAAGGGTTAACTACTGTCAAACATAATTCAATTAATAGAATGAAGAAAAATAAACCTAATTAAGAAGAGATGAAACTGCAGCAGATTTCCAATTTTTTTTGAAAACCTAGTGTGAACATAGAAAAGGTCTACACTATTCATGTAGTATCAAACTTCATTTATTATTAGAAAATTAACTGTAGTGTTTCAAAAATCTTGAAATAGTTTTTCTTTGAAAGTACACTTACCTTTGTACAAAACCTTCTAACAAGGAATGTAGTACATGGGATCGGTATCTCATCAGTTTTATATCTCGTGGTGTAGAGTCAACACACTGACCATTCTGGATAGGTCTTTCAAACATATTGGAGAATTCCGTTTTGGTACCTAGAGAATATCAATAATCAGCACAAGAGAGGGAAAAAAAGAAAGAAATTAACATCACAGCTCTAAAATTATGTTAAACTCACTACTGCTGGTAAATAACGATTTAGTTTCATTATCTGAATTTTGTTTATGGTTCCCCAAGTGCTTAATCACCAAAGAGTCAATTAGTAAGTCTGCATGACCTAACATAATATTAATGATTGTAGAATTTTTAAGAAAGTTTGATTTTTTCTAATATTACTCATTGGATCTGGTTGCTTCAAGGCAATCACATGGGCCAAAATATGGGCATTATACTTATGTGAGCGGCTGCTCTGATAGGTATGCAGTTTGTAGTCCAGGCACATGCTAACATTCATGTGCTGTGACAAGAATCTATACCTCCCCTTTGCAATGTTATTTTCTCTTTATAATGCACAAGTGTTTAGCTTTTTTTTATAATTTTCCATTCTATATTCATCATTTTGTTATTTGTATCATCTTAAAATTATTTTGTAGTATTCAATTTTCTGTAATACAACTTGTGCCACTGATCACAACCAGGAAT